TCTTATTGGTGATCAACAAAATTTGCGCATCCTCATTGAATGGATTACCTGAAGGTACAACGCTTTATCGTATCCCCAATTTTGGTCAATCGTTATATGTATCGGTATGCCGCATTTCTTGTACCGCAATTACGTATTACATTTTGTATTTTTGTATGTTTATTTTTATATATTAATTAAATTTTAAAAATGAATGCGGAATTTATTGACGCGCTTTCGAGGGACTTTGGTAAATTGCAATCCGAAAATAATCATCACGATATAAACATCGAAGTTGGCAAACATCCCCATAAGAAATCGTTTAAAGCACATTCGATTGTTCTTTCTGCTCGATCTGAATATTTTAGAAATGCTTTAGAAATAGACAAAAAAGAAAATCAACAAGTTGAAGGCGAATTTGTAGAAATATCTCCTTTGAAGCAGCAAATTATTAATCTTTTTGAACCTAATATTATTCCAGAATATTTTGAAATTTTGCTAAAGTAAGTTTATATATATAGAGAATTTTGTTTTTGATAAATCAATAAATTTTTTAATCTTTAAATTATTATCATTTTTTAGTTATATTTATACAGGAAAAATATCTTTTGAACTACACAATCCAGAAATTGTTTTGTACCTTCTGGAAGGCGCTTTGTATCTTAAACTTACTGATCTTTACAATTTCTTGCAAACGCATCTCGTTCAAGATTACTCCGAATGGATGAAAGAGAAATACGAATTGATACAAAATATCATCAAAGCTAATAATGATGAAGATTTAAAAATATTAACGGATTTCTGTACAATGACACAACAAGAAAAGTTCCAGGCGATATTAAAATCCGAAGATTTTGCGAAATTGAGCAAGGATTCTTTAGTTACCTTGTTAAAATACGATGCACTTGACATGGATGAAATCGAAATTTGGGATCGTGTTATCGAATGGTGTTTAGCTCGTCTTCCAAAACTTAGTAAATCGTTGGAAGAATGGAATGATTCGGATTTCAAACTCTTAAGCATCAATATTGAGCCATTTATCCCACACATTCGTTTCTTTCAAATTCCGGCCGCCATCTTTGACGTCAAAGTTTTACGATATCAAAAGAGTCTCCCGGAATACGCTTTACGTGAAATTTTGAGTTTTCATTTACGTCCTGGATACAGGCCGACTATTCTTCAATTGCTTCCGCCCAGAGTTCGTTCTCACCTCGAAAAAATACCCGACTACAAAACTATCGATTCTTTAATTATCGACGACAACCACATGAATTGGTTATCTAACGGTATCGAAAATCTTTCATTCGACACAGCCAACGATAGATTTGAATATAAATTACTTTTACGTGGAAGTCGTGACGGTTTCACTTCCGATGCATTCTACAATTTATGTGCAAAAAAAGGTCCTACTATCGTCGTGATCAAAGTTGCCGAAATCGGAGAACTTATTGGCGGTTACAATCCATTGCATTGGAGTAGCGATGGCGGATATTTAAATACTTCGAGCGCATTTATTTTTAATCTTGGTAAGCAAAATTTGCAGGGAGCTATTTTGAGTAGAGTCGTGAAGGAAGATGTTGCTGTTTGGTGCGGACGAGATTGGGGTGGACAAGAATATGGTCCTTATTTCGGGACAAGTGATCTATCTGTTGTTGGAAAGAACTGGAAAACCCAAAAAGTCTCTTTTTGTAATCCGGCAGACTATAAGAATTCAATTCTGTCTACTTTGGATTATTTCTCTTTTGAGGAATATGAGGTTTTCCAGGTTGTTAGAAAGTAATAGTTATTAGAGTGTTAGATTTTTTAATTAAAACATCGATATACATGTATACGTAATGTGAAACCAAATGCATTCGAAGAATAAAATTTTGAGTTTAAAGTACTGTAGCCGAAAATGGAACATTTGGTGAGAGATACCAACAAGGAAATTATTAATTAATGGAGATAAAATTGCAGAACCGATCGCGATGTCTTATCGTCAGTGACTAAAATTGGCTTGCGGATTCCGCCTATGTAATACATGTACATAAACTAACAATAATATTATGATACGTATGTAAACTTGGTAATTGTTATAAAAAAAGCATAGAGGAGATGCAAAAAAACAATGTTAACTTGTTATGAAAATGGAATCGGAACACAAAAAGATGAGAAAAACGCATTTGAATGGTATTTGAAATCAACAGAGAGAGACGCAAATAAACAATTTAATCTCGGGTTGTGTTATCAAAATGAAATCGGAACACAAAAAACGAGAATAAAGCATTTGAGTATTTAAAATCAGTAGAAGGTGGAAACGCAGATGGACAATGTAATCTCGGTTTTTGTTAGCATGAGAGAATTGAACCACCGAGAAATGCAAAAAAAACATTCGAATGGGTATTTAAAATCAACAGAGGTGAAGACGTAGGCGGACAATGTAATTTGGGGGATTGTTATCGAAAAGGTATAGTGCGGGACACTTAGTCCTACAACTTATAGTATACATGTAATATTGCATTTTTTTATTTAGCAAAAAGAAAATTAGTTAGATTTAAACTATAATTTAATGGAGAGTTTTGTAAAAAAATATTTATTTATTAAAAAGTTATAAGGGTTTAAACTTTATTGACTTTACGTATTATGATTACATCTAATTTGGCCACTTAATTTTAGCCAGCATTAAAAATGATATATTAGATTTTGGCTAGCATTAAGATTAATATTAAATTTTGCATATTAAGAATTTATTGATAATTCAAATTGGATCTTTATATTGCACAATATTACTGATAATATTTGAGTGAGAAAAGAGAGCTGAGAAATAAGACACTGTAATGTCATTTCTGTGATAATGCAGGCCAGATTAAGTTTTTTAACCAAAATTAAAGATGTTTGTGATAATATTATACTTATTTTTATATTTAATTATATTATTAATTATATAATAGTTAAAAAAACATGAAAGACTAAAAAATAAATTAGCATGAAATGCTAAAAAAATAAAAAAGATAAAATAACATGAAATGATAAATTAGAAATAAAAGATATTTTAATTTATTTTGTATTAGTTAAAAAAGCTATTTTAGATATTTTAGCAATATTTATTTTTATATATAATCAAATTTCTCTATAATTATCACTTTCAGATAAGCAAAATTTGGTGATTATAAAGAGAATGTGATTATAAAAAGATTTTTTTACTATATTTATATATAAAGAAAAAAACAAAATATGATAACTATAGGAGGTGTGACTATAAATAGATATGACTATAAAGAGATTTGATTATATAAGTAGCATTTCACTTGATAGCAAGTTAGAAAATCAGTTAATAAATTAATTAACAAGTTAATTATTAATTAGAAAACAAGTAATTATCTTATAATTTCTCTTTGATATTTAGTATAATTTTTATTATAATATTATTATTTTTATATTATATATTTGTATTATATATTTATATAATTTATATATAGAGCACTGACTAAGATAGTAATAATAAAAAATATAGTAATAAAGAAGTTTTGTTAATAAAACTATTTTAAACTTATTAATTATATATTATATAATTTTCTTAATAATAAACTTAACTTGTTTTATAATTCTTCTTATAATTATAAGAAAAAATTTATATAAAAATTTTTTGTTATACAAATACTATTAAAAAACTAGAATAATAATAGCAATAAAAAATAATGTAATAATGTTAATATTTATTAATTAAATATAGTAAAATATGAATTTTTCTCATTATATAAAAGTTTATAATTTTATTAACAAATATTTTTTATTTTTATATTAAAATAATGATAATATTACATAATTTAATATATATTTTTTCAGATTTTTTAGGTTTAATTTGATCAAGCTGTTCTAATTATATATAAAATTAAATATTCTTTTATAATTAAATATATAAAAAATAATTTGACTTTATATATAATTAGAATAGCTTTATTAGATTAAATCTAAAAATCTATAATATTATTATTATTTTAATATAAAATAAAAATTATTAATATTTATAAATCATATTATTGGTATTAAATATTAATATTAAATTAATCAAATAAGTTATAAAATTCAATTAAATAAATCACAAAATTAATATATAATGCAAAAATTTAAAACAAATACAAATATAAACAAATAAGAAACATCTTAAAAAATTAAAAAATAGCTATTATTTCGATTATTTGTTTATAAAATTATCTTTTGTATACTAATAAAAAATATTTTTTGTGAAATTCTATTTTAAATAAACTTAACTCTAATATTAACTTTAATTTTTAACCAAAATATAATAAATTATATAAAATTATAATGTTAAATATTATATATATAAAAGATAATTTTTCAAAAATATTTATTAGTAAAATTGAAAATTTTATAGAAAAATATTTAAATTTTGATATTATTATATTATTTTTGATTATTATTATATATTAATTTATAATAATTTTTAAATTTGAATTTATCAAAATTAAATAAATTATATTATAATAAAATTTAAAAATACAAAAAATTATTTCAAATCAATTTGTTTAAAAATAATTTACAAATTTAAAAAATAAAATTATAAACTTGGTAATAATATTAAAATATTAATTTATTTTATTTTAAATATTATAAAAATTCTTTAAATTAAATTACAAATTAAGATATAAACACATATTTTTTTAACTTTTTTCATTTAATTTATAATTAAAATTTATATTCAATAATTTTTATATAAATATTAGAATTAATAAAATTAAATTTTATAATATAATCAAATTTTTTTATAGTTATTATTTTCAAAAAAAAATAAAATTGGATAATTGTAAAAAAGATATAATTATAAAAAGATTTTTTTATATTTATATATAAATAAAAAATAAACTAAAATAATTATAGAAAAATATAGTATAAATAGATATAATTATAAAGATCTTTAATTATAATATTATTAAATATATTGAATTTTTTTAATTATTTTAACAAATTTATATATTAACTTAAAATTAATTTTTTTTACACTATTAATTTTAGCAAAATCTTATAAAATCTGAAATTTAAATATTATATAATTTATTTAACAAGATATTTTAATATTATTTAAAAATATTTTATATTTATTTTAAATTTTTATTAATATCAATAATTAATTTTGATATTTAAATTTATAAGTATAATATATTATATAATTTTCATAAATTAACAATTTTATACTATTATAAGTATATTTATAATATTTCTAATATAAGTTAATATTATAATACTTTTAAATATATTTAATATAAGTAACAATTCCTATTAGCAAAACAAATAGATTAATTAAAATATATTAAAAAATACCTAAATATTATTTTATTGCTTTAATTAATTAAAACTTGATTATCTTATAAATTATTTATTTTTAAGAAAAATTAAAAATAGCTTGTTTCAAATTAATTATTACTAGAACTATAAACATTATGCAATTAACTTAATGCATTGAATATATAGTTATTTATTATTTTGTCAAGTTATTTTCTTATTTGTAAGCATTTAGTTCATTATATAATTGAAAAGATAAAGATACAAAATTCTAAGAATATATTCTAATTTTAAATAACATATAGATTATTCATTTTAATTTGGAATAGTAATGAATCACCAATTCCATTTTTTAATATTGATATCAAAATTGTTAATACATGTACAAATTAATAAAATTGAACTGTGATTGAATAAAATTATCAGCCACGTATTTCCTATTAGGGAAACTTGTATTTTCCGCAAATTTAATAAATCCATGTCTTTCCCTCTCCCAATTTAAATAACTTATTTAGCGAAGCATACCGATACTGGATAATGTGTTCAATTGAGTTATGATGAGGATGAATCATATGATATATCAGCCACACACTGAGCATCAGGGGTCAGATTTATCGGACCCAGAAAATTTGGACTACATCCTAGTATTGTTGATGACTTTTAACTTTGAATCGATTGTCATCCCAAGTCGACTTTTTTGTAGAGTCGGTCGACTTGAGTTGATCATAATAAATAATTCGAGATAAGTAATAGCTGTAAATATCAGATATCCTAGCCACGGCAAAAAAAGTGTCGGGTCATGTGATTCCAATCGGAGCCGACCATTTAATATTCCTCTTAAACTCATGCACCAATTAAATCGCAAGATCAATCTGTAATAAAAAATTAAAAGCCATTTGTATTCTAACAAAAAGTTCCTTGTGAATTTCACTATACAATAGACTATATGCTCCTTAATTCTAAACCGTAACCGAAACTCTTTAATATTATGGGATGTCGGATGGTCTGCATCGGTATGATGCATAACATCTAAAGTCATCAAACGTTTGTATTTTATAAAATGGATAAACTTCTTTACTAAGAAGTAAATACAAATTTTAATCCGTCAATATGATAGGATAGGCCCTTTCTGAACATATTAACAGATTAAATTTTGTATTTACTTCTTAGTAAAGAAGTTTATCCATTTTATAAAATACAAACGTTTGATGACTTTAGATATATCTGAATCACATGACCCGACACCGTGGCAGGGTTCATGTATACATAATTATATTTACAGCTCATATCAAGATATTAGTTTATGGCTGGCACCAGTCCCACTAACTACATAATGGGGCCGTAGCATGCTAACATATTTAAAGCTACAATATAATTTTTGTATTACATAAAATTATATTTGATATCGAGAAGATTTCAATATAAAATTTACATAAATCTTATCAAACAACGCAAAACAAACGTCACAGAAATAATTTCCGTGCGCGTACAATGTGTGTTTATATCGGATACGACTATAAAAGTGCTCAAGTTTCGTGCTTTCGAACAATTAAGTAAAACAGGTTATTAGAGTTAATTTATATATCGATATCTCTTTGGCTTACGTTCATATAATGTGTGTCCAATATTTTTTTATCCTGAAAATTGAATGTGATTATTTCACATTGACCAAACATTAAAACTGCATTTTTAATGAGACACAAAAAAATTTTGCAATCAACAAACAGGTATCGGTATTGTTTTTTCACGATTATTATTGTTATCGTAATTATCGTTATTATTTGTAGCTTCGAAATCCATAGACTAATGTAGGCGTTGAAAATATATTATCAGTTATGTACTATTCACTCATTTTATTTTTACACATCCTCCAAGCTTAGTATACATTACAAGTATCCCAAAGGGTAAGAGTAGATGGCGCAACTTCACATAAAATACGCCATTCTTGTTTGTGCTCTGATTAATTGTCAATTATATAATATCATAAAACTTGTTTTTCGATCTCTATTCAATCGACTCACATGTTAGAGAATAACAACGGAAAAATAGATAAATAGATACTATATCGGTATACGTATATATCGATATATTATATTGACACTTCGACAATTTTTTATTCAAATATTGGTTCTATCGAAATTTCACTTTTATTTTATAGACCATTAAAGTTTCCGAGTTTCTTTATTCTTCAGAGCTTGGAAGCACACGATAGAAGAACAGATAATGTATAAACTCATTTCGTACCTAAATATATTACAAAACAAAACCGTTTCATTTTAGATCAAATAAGCAAGCTTTATTTTTTTTTGCACAACCCAAATACAATATAGATATGTTTTTACGCTAAATTTGCTCTTAAAAACATCATTTACATTATATAAGCTTTTGGCTTTCGTCTAAAAAATAGTAATTAAAGATTAATCTACAAGCCAAAATGCATCTACATGTACTATGTTCTGTATATATGATATTTGGAAATAAACAGACAGGTAAAGTGAGTTTGAACACGGACCTGGATAAAAGACCTAGCATCTCAATAGAAAAGTGTCTGTGCATTGGCTGTTTCTCCGCATACATTTTTGGTGAAAAGCACACACTTGCTCGGTCAATTCAGCCATGCGAGTAAACCAACCAAACAATCAAGCAACACCTAAAGAATACTCATGTGTATGTGCATGCTTCGTTATACGTACAACACAATAATTACACCGTTTAAAGAACATGCAAAACGGAAAAAAATTTGCAAATGATAGATAATACTTAATAATGTAATACGAAGAATATTGAAAAATTACCATGTTGGCTAGTTTGTTTTGCTATTAGTTAGTCAAAGCCTCGTTTTTATGTCTTGTCGCTATGTGCCTACATCAGGAAGTTTTGGAAACCCTAACCCTAGTGTTGTTTAACACTAAAAGTGTTAAAACTAAAGTGTCAACTAGCATGATGTTTAATGCATTTAGTGTTAAACAACACTAATTTTATTAAGTAAAAGTGTTGAACAACTAACCCTTTGTTAAAAAACATGTTTTATGGTGTTGTTTAACACCTTTCAAAACTTCCTGATGTAAATTCTAATACAAATAAATCAATTTTCAGGATACCGTCCACTATTGGAAAATTTTAAAAATCATTTGAACGGTGAATTATTCAAAAAATTAGACCCAAGGAAAAAAATAATTATCGTAGCGTTGCTTAATGTAGAAATCCCAATCAAAACTTTAAAAAGGAAATATAAATAACCCCTATATAACGATAGACGATAAACAGCAATTTTCCGCGTAATAATGCGCTCACTCTATTTCACGATTCCTTATTATATTCACCATTAATATTTTCGATAAGAACTCATTTCATAGAAAACGACCACATAGAACATTCTTTATCTGACCCTGCATAAATAACAGAAAATTTGGACACTTCATTTAGAACACACGATATATTTATGGAAATTGTTTTCCAAATAATATTTTTTACGCCAATGGACGTGTATACATTTTAAGGTTGCCATTGCATGATGTGCATGCAGTTGGCTGTATAAAAATACGTACTCTATTTTTAAGCTATCGAATCTATCACCCGGCCGGATTTTAGGTAGTTAAATTCCGGTCACAAAAATATATTGTGCATGTATGGGTTTTGATGGTGCCAAAACAAGCAACTGTTATCTAGATACGAAGGATGCTATTTCGAGATTAGACCTGTTAAAACCGACTAGCTGCATCTTTCAGCGATATTACATCGATATGACTCTAACGCATATTTTATTTACCATTGTTTATGTACACAAGTGTATATTTAACGTTTGTAGCAATATTTTGGTCTTTATTGAATATAAAATCACTTTGGCAGAACCCAAGATTCCGTAAAGTTCCGATTATAATAAGGAACCCTTTTTTAAACGAATTTTGAAGGGGTTACTGATCCGCAAAACAAATTTGCAAACGCCATGCCTCGCTCCGATTCAAGTGAAACAACCACCAAGATGTTTGTCTCAATAAGACGAATTCGACGAGCTATCGATTGCTCCATTCGAACCATTCGTTGTTGAGAAATCTGGTCATTGATGACTAAATAGATAGCATGTATTAAGGGGTTGCTTACTAATAATCACCAGATTTTGCAGGAACCGGAACTTTACATATTTTCACTCCAAGGATTCCATATTCAAAAAACGATGATTAGGACCATGTACCGCAAAAGTTGAATGGTTCATTTAATGAGGCTTAACCAATTCCATTTTCTACCAAAAATAACTTTGATTGCTTATTTAAAAACTTGAAGTCCACCCTTTCTCGAACTTGAAACCCGAAACCCCAACATTTCTTAAAGAGAAATCCGGTTTCTGCACGAAATAATACTTTTCATTAAGCTTCTATAGCATAAGTGGAACATAAAATAATTAAGCTTCTATGGCATAGATGGCACATAAAATAATATATATTCATATTAAATTTGATATTAAAACCCGAAACAAGAAAGGAGACAATGAACCCTTTTTAATCGGTTCGGAACTACAGTCCGAGAGCGCGAACAAGCAAGCAGAAATAGCAAGCGCACTTGCACAAAACTCAGATGGTGCACAGAAAGATTTCACATATGAAAAATGCTAGTTTGAAAAGAATGAACTAAAAAAGGAAAATCATTGTGTATATAATCATCTAAAATCCCCTTTTCCCCATTTTTTTTGGACATATTTGTGGCAACAATTACCACATTAAGAAAAAAAACTTACCAACCATATAATCAAAAAACCGCCAACTTTTTTTTCGATATTCCCCATTAGCACATTATCGACAAAAAACATAAATAATTCTATCACGACCAATTCTTTCATCCTGTATGCACAGAAACTCACGACAAGAAAATGCACATCTGAAGAAAATTGCATTTTTGAAAATGAGTATTTTGCAGATAAAATACGCCAATCTTGTGAAAAAAAAGGGCTAAACTTACCGTTACCGTTAATCCAAGAAGTTTTTGTGCACACGTTCTCGTTACTTATGTCATTCTATTACATACACGTGCATCATATGATTTATTCTTTTCCTTCTGTAATTCCTTTTTTGAGTTGTATGACATCATAAGAGAAGTGTGGTAGATCTATTCATTTGTTTCCTCGTAAATTCGATGGTACATATGTCGGAGACGACATGCCGTTCGATGCAACAAAGATAATAGCAGGTGCGTGACAGAGATGATGATGAACAGCAGCGTCGATTGTTTCCAGAAATTTTTTTTGAAAAAATTTCGTCATTTTTTTTACGATCTACTAACAATGGGTCGGAATTTGTTTCAACAATAACAATGACAATGTAATACCAAATAATCAGTCGCAGTAATCATGTATGATGTGCACAGAATCTAAAGAGCAAAGAACTTTTAATAGAAATTGAATAAAACAATATCTTCAAAAACAATCGTTATCAATTAATCACGCGTCAAAGATGCGCGAATAAATCATCCAATGATTCGCGACTTTCTACAATAACGCGCGACTTTACTTGCTGTTGTCAATTAAAAAAAAAAGACAAACTTTTAATTCCAAATTTTCAATTATTGATAATAAAATAAATTGCTTTGTTTTATTGTGTGTCTCTTTGTGAGTGGTTGGTGGAGTCGATTTAAATTATAGTGTGTGTTTACATGGTTTGTTTGTGTACACGCAATATTAATGTTTCTATATAGTTACTCCGTTTGTTATCTGAATTATGTGCTATATGATTAACTAAAAATAATTTTACATTACGAAAGAAGACGAATAAGAGGTTTTTAATCATATTTTGTACATGTAGTTAAAAATAAATTTCGTTATCATTGTAATACATGTTTCTTCTTAACAAAAAGTTATATGGGTAATGAGCGAAAAAGAGTCAAGAAAAATGAAATCTTTTAGCTATAATGATAATATAACAAGTAGAAGTAATAGTTATTATGTACAAGAAAGTTATGCTATGCTATGTATAGTAGTTGTAGTGATGATGTAATAAGTATTTATACGTAGTGTGTATCGTGTATTTTAGTGCCAATTTGATTGGCTCGTTGAGAGAAGTAAAAATTTACATCTTTCCCAGAGATAATTTTCGCTCTTTTTTCTATTTAGTCATAATGTTATAGTTGTATTGGCTTGCATAAATCGTCGAATGTAGTTAGAATAAAAATAAATATTGTTCAAAAAATGTCACATTTCACATGTATGTATGCTAATAAGAATTTACCACTCCGCCCACCCGACATAGCCAGCATTGATTTTATCATCAATCATTTTTTCGATAAACTGCCGCGCGTCTTCTGATGACTGGTGATGCTGTATTTGTGTCGCGCGCTCTTTCAATTTCCCGTCCGGTTCTTTCTTGCCGAACCGGACATACGTTGTTATCCCGCTCTCAATCTTAAATTCCCAAAATCGTGTATTAGTTTCCAAGTATCCTGACGGTGTTGTTTGTTGTTGCTCTTCTTGTTGTTGTTGTATCTGTTTTCGTTGATACGTCAGTATTGCTTCGTATTGTGCTAAAAGTCCTTCCCTCGTCGCAAAAGTGTTCAATACAAAGTCGTCGTCGATTATCATCGGGGTTTTGTGATGATGATTGTTATTGTTATTGTTGTTATTGTTAGTATTGAGCCCCAAGCTAAATTTCTGGTGTTGCTGGTTTCCTATCATGATGTTGGCTGCTGTTATCGAAGAAGATTGATTATTATTATTGCGAGAAGGCATGACAATAATGCACTCGTAAAAAAAGACAAAAAATAATGACTTTTTTTCTTTGTATATGTGTTCGTGTGCGTGCCTTGTTTATTTATTTATGTTGGCGATTTCGTTAACCAAAAGTAAATGAAGAAGCTGGTGATTTCACAAATGAACACAAAATGGTACGTTAAAAATAAATGCGTGAAAGTACGTATTATGTTGCCTAAGCGACGAAGAATATCCTGTTAAATGACCTTGCCTTTTTATAGAAAAAAGTGACATTATATAAGTAATACGTATACTAATAAAATGCCCACGCATGTTAGAATACTCAGTATATGAAGAATAATAATCGGAAAAATAAATAAACAATAATTAACGTTATTCATTACTCTCAATAAACGCATATAATATAAAATATGCAGTACAATCGTGTCTGTTTATTATAAGTTAATCAACAAGTAAATAAGAATTCACGGTGTCCGTTTTACAACAAATCAAACAGGTCAATTTAGAGTCCACGAAAGGAAAGTAATGACCAGCTAATAAGACCGATTTGGCCTACACGTATAAAACTCCGCAGCTATCGGTGTTGGCTGGATGGTTGGAATGATACATGTACATAATTTATTAGATAATACAGGATATAAGACAAGAATAGTTGAAAGAAAGATAAATGGATATAACAAAATGTAATAAAGTGAAGAAGTTTTAGCGTGTACGTGTATCTGTGTTTCAAGATTAATTTTTTACTCTTATGATCTTTTGTCTATGGACATTTAATTATAACAGCTGTTTCTACAGTCAATTCTATTATGTATGTATGTATGTATGTATTGTATATTACATTGCATAATGGTAATAAAAAAAATATCATAGGATAAAGATCAGGGTCGCATATTAACAATGCATCATTATTATTGCGCCGGAAAGAATAGGAGAAAATGTGCATTCCTTCGTTATCATCATCATGTTAGCTTCGCCTCTCTCTTTCTTACACCGCACTGCAAAACGGGATACATGTGCCCATGTCGCTTGTTACCATCACAGAGTCTGTTAAATGTTACACATTCTTATTATCTAATCGAATATACATGTAAAAAGTAAATAAATAATAAACTAGTATAAAATAAAAACTATTTCCCTTGGTCGTAAGAGAAACCCCACCAGAAATTTTGATAAAATATACACGCAGACAAACTGATAACGATAACAATAAGGGGCGGGAATGCTTTATTTAGCCTATCCAATACATAATACCGAAAAATAAAATAAATTGTCACGTTTCTGGCACCATCGTCACTAAAGTTTGAAACTCTACATAGCACAATGGTTGAATACATAATAAATTTGTAACACCTATTTTTCCATTAGCGTCAATAGGTTAATAGAAGTATAAATCACAACACAAAAGATTTTCTTTCTCCTCACCCTCTTAAGACCTTAACGTTAAGACGGTATCCATTTACCAGGGGGAGCGAATGAATAACGATAAGAGAATGAAGTGTGTAAATGGTAATTAGGGAAAGTATTAATTTTTTCTAGCGCACACGCCATTCTTTAGTATTCTTTGAACTTGGTCTAATCTTTTTTGAGCCTAGTTCAATGTATTTTTTACCTGATACGTTCTTTTTACCCGAATACAACACAGAAAACAAATCTATTTGACCTACCTAATTTGGGGGGTTTTTTTATATCGATATCTCTTGTGCTCGCTTTTAAAGGATAGAATATCGATATCGTCATCTTCTCAATATTCATACACACACATCATGAATATAATACAAGCACATGTATCGAAATGATCAATAATAGTTGTCTGTGGGGAAACGTGTACAACAGCGAAGTCTGAAATCTAAACTTTTCTTATTAATTGATCGATGTTCGTCCCATCATCGTGATTTAATAAATCATTCGAGTATTAACGTTAATATGAGCGAGTGAATATTTGCCGCCAGCATAATTATTTCTAAAAAGTAGTTACATGTATTAGGCGTAATAAAAAAAATGTGCGAGTCCTATTTTGCATCTTTTTTAAGGGGAAATAAATCATGTCGCATGCATACAATAAGTTTCACCTTTAACATAAGACCTATAAAAAATGGTCGGTTTTGTGATAATAAATATCGATATGCGTGCGAGTACGACTTACGTTTAATACTAGTGTGTGAAATTAGTTCTAAAGTTTAATTGTTATTGTCGTCATTTTTTAATATAACTCTAATACGATTTCAGGTAAGACATTGATGATCATTATAATTATTTCTGGTGTTTATTTTTTATCTAGCAAAACAACTACTGGATTATAACGACGACAATATGTGTTTGTAAATTTGTAATTTGTTCCACCAGTATCGGTGTCTGTCTGCTAACAAACAAAAACGAAAAGGTTTTATTCATTCATAAATCTAATCCGTCATATGGGGACAAGCTAAAGACCTGAACAATTTTAAGAATTCGATTGTCAAGTGAATGAAAACATCCCTCCAATGAACATCAAAAAGTGGAAAATTCTCACACATACTAACGCGCGATTACTTAGTGGCGTAACAATACCAACATTCGATATGCGTGTATGTACCCAGATTTCTTGTTGGCACATGTAGGTTCTTTATGGGAATGATTGTCTCGTGTATGAAAAAAATTCCAATTATAACGATAAGTGGAAATAGAGTTGGCGGCATGAAGTATTCCTAGAAAAGTTCGTTTGAATTATTAGTTTTCCGCATTAAATTGTCAATTTACGCGAGTTTGAATTAAAGTTTTTTTTTTATTAATATACATACCAAGTACTATTACCACATTAAGTAAGATTGTAATAGTCTTTTCTCAAAGAATCTTTTATCGCATTATACTAAAGAATTACATTTAACCGATAAGATATCATCATTCATATAAAATGCACGGTGTAACGGCGAAAAGTAGGGAATGGAAAAAAAATTGGTTTCCCTTTTATTGGTATTCATTTATATAGTTTATATAGTAAGAGCCAGTCCATTACTCATTGTTTAATACCAACAATTAATTATATGATACTTTTTCTTTGTTTCCAAATAGTCCTTGGGTTCAAATAATTCTAGAATGATGAAGGCGTGATACAAATGCGTTCTCTTTTCTGATAAAAATAATGCTATTAATGCAGCATGGCGCATTTTGTTTTCAAATAAATCATTTTTTTAATAAAGCTATTTATGGTTTTACTTTCTTTGAATTCTGTATAAAGTCCGTGTGTTGCAGGTTATTGATTGTCTATATAGCATTTAATTAGGATGGGCTAATAACTGTTACTGTATTAAACCGGTTTTTAATTTTTTTTGATTGGCTAATTATTGATAACGATTTCATCTCGAGATAAAGTTTAAAATTTCTCGTTTCTATGCGGCGTATTTTTGATAGAGAAGAAGCATGCACGTACACACATGACCGTGCCTCTTGTATTTGCCTGTTTGAATATTGCTCACATGGCTGAATTGACCAAGCGAGATTGTTTTACACAAAAAAGAATTCGAATAGAAATTTTTGCACTCTTTTATATTTATATAGAAAACTCGCCAAGGCACAGGCGTTTTTCTATTGAATTGCTAGGTATACGGTATTTTGATAGATATGTTACAAGTTCTAAATAATCAAATGCTCAAAACCCGAGTTTGTTTTAGCTTATTTTAAAAATTTATACAATGGCGCTCAAAAGTAATGCATCACTTGAAAGATAAATTTTGCGACGCGATAACTTCTCGTACACAACGTTAAACAATATATAACTAGGCTTATTTTAGTCGCCAAATATAAAAGAATTATTATATTTACTTTATTTTTCATCCCTAACGCTAACTTAAAAAATAAAAATAATCCATTTTTTACATCAAATTAAGTGATCTGTTTTTTTGTCAAAAATTCAAATTGAAATTTCTAACTAACTAGCGAATAAAAATCCACCAAATTTTAACTAAATCTTCTTTACCATCTAGTGTATCCACCCTTTGCATTGATTACATCTTGGATACGCGCCTCCATACTTTCAATTAGACTTGTTAAAAATGCATTATCCATTTCGATCCAGACTTTTTGTATCGCATCCCAGAGTTGATCTTGAGTATGAAACGCCGGTCTATTTCGTTCCAGAGATGCTCGATTGGGTTAAGATCAGGTGATTGGGGAGGCCAATCAAGTATACGAATTTCATTATCATCAAACCATTCATATGTAGAGTTTGCCGTGTGCTTTGGATCATTGTCTTGTTGAAAGACAATATCATCCTTATTAATATCATACCACCTGATTGTTCCTAAAAG